AATCGAAAAGGATGAGATTGTTGTTATGATGACACTCTCGAGTACAACAAATATTATGATTATTGTATATGAGTATCAATAAGAATACACTCAACACCTTGACGACAGCGCGGCAACTATGCATGCCGCCATTTTCGCACCACGTCGGACATTGTGGCAACTATGTATGCCACACCCATTACATTTGTTTTTTTTTCGCAGGTGCCCGACTTCTTCCAAAGTTTTTTTTAATGTTCATGCTATAGGCCATACATCAACATAACCAAAAACCACGTGGCTCAGAGGTTTTCCAGACTTTACGAAAATATCCGTTCAGTTCATTCTTCTTCTTTTCAATAACGTAAACATGTAGATGAAAAGAATAATAGAAGTGAATACAAACCTATCGCATGGCAAGATATATGTTTTCACTGAAACAACCACGTTCAAAATAATTTTGGAACCACTAAAGCGAAAGTAAGTAAAATTTGCCTTCTCGTAGCCATAACACGTCATTTTGGTCGAACTTCCATTACTGTAACTCCCGATAAGTTGACACATTGAACATCAATGAAACATTTGTCGCATCAAGTTTTGCGTATTTACAGCTCAAAATCCACGGATTTGAGGTGAGGCGGCGGCGCCTGCAGAAATCGCGCCGGTCCCACGCGGCCAAAAAGCCAAAACGCGCGATGTCGTCAACGTGTAAACTATAGACATCGATGTATGGATCACGAAACGTACTGGACTTTAAATCATTTGATCTTACGTCAAAAACGGTCGGAAATTTTAGTGGCAAGGCCAGAACAACAGTTTTTAAGCTCAAAAACGGACCAAATCTTTTATCCTTCCACATAATATTCCTAAAAACTAATCGACCCGTTACCTTAAGCGCTAGTGGGCCTGCAACGGAGAGTACAGAAGTAGTAGCAGTCACGGCATGAGTGTTTTTGCAAGTACAGAAATATAGTGAGTGACTAAATTCTCCAGTCCGTAAAAATGTGAAAAATTTGCATGCAAAACACTTGCGAACGAAATAGGTCCCGTCGCGATTGAGCTGCCACGCTAAAGGTCCCAATAGTGACCAAAGAGAAATAGAGCCTTGTAGTGTGGGTTGGGAGGTTGGGGATACACTACTAACGAAAAAAGGGC